ATATAGCATCTTAAACTAACAATTAAAATGCAGAACAAATTAGGAATGCTTAAATAAATAAAAAATAAAATGAATAATCGTGAGGAGATGATTTATAAAAAATTCAAGCAGTGCAACAATCTAGACCAAGGGGCTGAAAACACTATTTTCATAAAACTTGGCATAGTTAAAGGTATCCCGCCTTTAACATCCCCAATAAATCTTCACTCCTTAAACAAAGAATATTATTTCATAACTATATAGAAATGAGGTGACCATTATAAATTAATTAATTGATCAGAACTAACCTACTATTTCATTGTTTAAGAAACTGCAAATGTATAATTTTAACAAAGCTTGATGATTGAAAATAAAGCCCTCTCCTAAGTGCCGATCAATAATGACACAGAAATATTTGGAGGATAGTACATTGAACATACCTGAACATTACTTTCATCCATTAGTATTTCTTTTGCCTTTTCGCACAAGCCCCTAACCTATATTTACAAAATCAATAGGACTGTTAAAAATTTCTAATACATCCAACAGAAAATATAGTGAATAACCTATATAAAACAAGCAACAGAAAAGGGCTCATCAGACCAGTGTCAAATCATAAAAAAACATAGCAACCATGTCACAAATTAGTTACAACTAGATTGATCATTATAACGACCCAGTGATTTATGACAAGAGAGCACATAAGGGAACTGATTAAAATAAAAAAGCTAATGAGAGTGTGTGTGTGTGTGTGTGTGTGTGTGTGTGTGTGTGTGTGTGTGTATTGAGCAGAGAGAGAGAGAGAGAGAGAGAGAGAGAAGAGGTTGGAAAAATAAAAAAAAAAAGTAGTTTCATCTTTTTCACGTCCATTAACAGTTCAACCTGAAGTAATCATGGGCTTATCGAATGCCTCAATTTCATAAAGCTTGTTAATTTGTACACGTGAAATCTTGAGCATATATAATCATCATATGGGTGACACGAAACCGATCGACCGAACCGCCCAACACGTGGTGTGTTATACATGTTTGGTGGAGAGGTATTAAAAATCCCAAAAAAAAAAAAAAAA